CTGCAAACTATAAATCTCTGAGAACCAAAGTGTATCTTAGCAGCACTTTGAACCACGTTCCCTAAACGTAGTTCACTAAGACTGCTTTTATGTTGTGTCCAGAAACGATGCGTGCATTGGGCATACTATTTAGGTCCCACAGAAAATATCTTGGCCACTATTACAAAAATGCAAATTAATACTGGAGTCCTTGATGTCATGGATTTCTGACTTCTAAAGGGATTTTTTTTCCCCCAAAAGAGTGATAAGCTTAGTTTAAGAAAACAGTGAAAGAGAATCTATCGGTATTTTTTTCAGACCACTCTAAGGTGGTATGGCTGAAAAGATGAGATGAGGTTGCAATAGGCAGCATGAATGGAGGTCCATGCTCCCCAGGGACAGGCGGGGTCCAGGGGCTCCCTGGGCTTGGTTCAGGCTATTCTTAATTCATATTATGAAAGGCAATAAGTAAACATTTTTAATCTGGATCTGGAAGTAGGAGGAAGATTTGGAGTATTAGCCGGGATGGCAAGACAGATTTGAGGTTTGGGGACTGGAGAATCTGGGGACTATTTCAAAGTAGATCTTGACTGGAGAAAGATCGTTTCCTATGTGGGGGTCAGGGTATGATGATAGGGGTTTTGAAAAGTGAATGACTTCCATAAAACTGCTGAGTGGGTGGAGCATGGAGGCAGAGGTCTGGTAAGGGCGGAGCTACGGTTCTTAGGGACTGCGTGGGCCAGGTCAGGGGGGCTCGCTCTTCTCAGATGCTCCCCTGCCCTGATGCTTGCCTGGCCGTCCCCTTCTTCTTTGCCTTTGTGTTATCCTCTCCCTCCTTTGCAGTGGCTGACTCGTTTTTTCATAAATAGCTGTAGCAGTTTTATCAAAATTATTACATGGAATTCATAATATGACTTACTGGGTACCTAAAACTGGTGAGTTGAACCTTCTGTACTTCTCTCTTAAGTCTCCAGTGAAGTTCCTCTCTTAAGAGTAAGTCTCCAGTGAAGTTTCTTCTTAACGGTTGATGACCTTCAAATTGTTTTCTTGTTGATGCACAGCTCTAAATCAAGCCAAAAAAAAGGCTCTCTGGTCCTAAAAATTAAAGTTACCTTTCCACTCTCATCAGAGCCTAATATCTAGAGATTGGCTACTCTCCAAAGAGCTTACATTTGTGCATGCATGCTCATGCCTGTCTAATTAGAGCCTAGGCAGAGCTAAATCCTACCATCATGTGGCTTTAGAGACAATTATTCCTGAGCTAGACTTTTTTTTTTTAGGTAAGAGTGATACCCTTGGAGAACTCAGTAATAGTAGCACTCTTAAAATGACTCAAAATAGGTTGCGATTATTCTACAAATATTTATTATAAATATGAACAATAGCATGTTAGATACATAATAAAAATGTACAGAAAATATCTTGGCCACTATTACAAAAATGCAAATTAATACTGGAGTCCTTGATGTCATGGATTTCTGACTTCTAAAGGGATTTTTTTTCCCCCAAAAGAGTGATAAGCTTAGTTTAAGAAAACAGTGAAAGAGAATCTATCGGTATTTTTTTCAGACCACTCTAAGGTGGTATGGCTGAAAAGATGAGATGAGGTTGCAATAGGCAGCATGAATGGAGGTCCATGCTCCCCAGGGACAGGCGGGGTCCAGGGGCTCCCTGGGCTTGGTTCAGGCTATTCTTAATTCATATTATGAAAGGCAATAAGTAAACATTTTTAATCTGGATCTGGAAGTAGGAGGAAGATTTGGAGTATTAGCCGGGATGGCAAGACAGATTTGAGGTTTGGGGACTGGAGAATCTGGGGACTATTTCAAAGTAGATCTTGACTGGAGAAAGATCGTTTCCTATGTGGGGGTCAGGGTATGATGATAGGGGTTTTGAAAAGTGAATGACTTCCATAAAACTGCTGAGTGGGTGGAGCATGGAGGCAGAGGTCTGGTAAGGGCGGAGCTACGGTTCTTAGGGACTGCGTGGGCCAGGTCAGGGGGGCTCGCTCTTCTCAGATGCTCCCCTGCCCTGATGCTTGCCTGGCCGTCCCCTTCTTCTTTGCCTTTGTGTTATCCTCTCCCTCCTTTGCAGTGGCTGACTCGTTTTTTCATAAATAGCTGTAGCAGTTTTATCAAAATTATTACATGGAATTCATAATATGACTTACTGGGTACCTAAAACTGGTGAGTTGAACCTTCTGTACTTCTCTCTTAAGTCTCCAGTGAAGTTCCTCTCTTAAGAGTAAGTCTCCAGTGAAGTTTCTTCTTAACGGTTGATGACCTTCAAATTGTTTTCTTGTTGATGCACAGCTCTAAATCAAGCCAAAAAAAAGGCTCTCTGGTCCTAAAAATTAAAGTTACCTTTCCACTCTCATCAGAGCCTAATATCTAGAGATTGGCTACTCTCCAAAGAGCTTACATTTGTGCATGCATGCTCATGCCTGTCTAATTAGAGCCTAGGCAGAGCTAAATCCTACCATCATGTGGCTTTAGAGACAATTATTCCTGAGCTAGACTTTTTTTTTTTAGGTAAGAGTGATACCCTTGGAGAACTCAGTAATAGTAGCACTCTTAAAATGACTCAAAATAGGTTGCGATTATTCTACAAATATTTATTATAAATATGAACAATAGCATGTTAGATACATAATAAAAATGTAGCCTCGGGGCTTCCCTGGTGGCGCAGTGGTTAAGAATCCGCCTGCCAATGCAGGGGACATGGGTTCAAGCCCTGTTCCGGGAAGATCCCACATGCCGCGGAGCAACTAAGCCCGTGCGCCACAACTACCGAGCTACTGAGCCTGCACTCTAGAGCCCACAAGCCACAACTACTGAGCCCCCATGCCACAACTACTGAAGCCCGTGCACCTAGAGCCCGTGCTCCGCAACAAGAGAGGCCACCACAATGAGAAGCCTGAGCACCGCAACAAAGAGTAGCCCCCTCTCACCGCAACCAGAGAAAAGCCTGCGTGCAGCAACGAAGACCCAACGCAGCCAAAAATTAAACTTTTTAAAAAAGCATCTTTAAAAAAAAAATGTCGCCTCCTTCAAAGATGTTACACCTGCATATTCTTCCAAAAGGGTAAAAGATGTGAAAACTGTCGAATGATCTCCACTTCTGATCTCAAGACCCTGTAAGACTGTTTGCAGAGAAGCAGCACAGGTCGCTATAGCATCTAATATCTAAAGAGGCACACTTTGCGCTTTCTTCCACTGTTTCCAGTATGGGAAAATTGATCCCTTACTTTTCATTCCTTAGAATTTTTCAGTGACCTTCAACACTGATTTTCTCATTTTGTGGAGGTATCTCAGTCCTGGTACGAACTTTTGTTTCTTGTTTTTAGAGTCTTCGGACTGGGAGCATAAATTTGATATCCATGGGAAAAGTTGAGTATTCCAAGGAAGTTATGTTCTTATATTAGCCTACCCTATAGGATGTCCATAAAGGGTATAAGGTGTTATACCAATATACAGTGATTCACTGGGATAGAAATGATCTCAGAAAGATAATCGCAAAGACATGAGCTTAAATTTCTTTATGCAAATCAGTACTTCTTTGTATCTGTTCATTCTACAGATGAATACGAAGTAATTTCATCCAATATGGTTGCTGTGTAGTGTACACACATATATTCATTAATGTTAAAATCGTGCACATTATATATAATGATTATGCACATAATTCAGAGACACTCCATTTCCTGGGGTGCTTCCATGCGGAGTCAGGTGCGTTCATAATCAGGGGAAAGGAGAAAGAAAACAATCTCAGAAGCATTCGTTTCTTTTCCGTTTCACCAACCATAAAGCCGGGCCTTCAGTCTCACTACCTTCAGGATTCTTTCCGGGTTTTTAGCAACCACTTCAGAACCAGCTGTATGCTAAGTTGAGAACTGCCACCACAAAAGAAAACACTGTAGTGAAGAACCGGCTGGGAAAAAAGCGTACACCAAGGGAAGCCCCGGCCTTTCCGGAGGCGGCGGTGGCGATGGTATTCCTACAATCCCTAAGTGTTTTAAAAGAGTTCAAATTCTCAGAGCACACGATTTGTGTTTCTAACTCCGGTGGTCTCTAGATTCACAACCCAAGGTGCTTCCTCCTCACGCACAGTCCACGGCGGACGTCGGCCCCGTAGCCCCTGTTGGTGGTGCATTCCCGCGTCCCCCCAAAACGCCACGTGCAAAGGAGGCGCCCCAGCCGCTCGCGCCAGCCTCCGGGTCTGGAGCACCAGCCCCGCCCTCGCTGACCCCCGCCTGTTTACCGGGACCCGCAAGTTGAGGCTTCCCTTCCTAGCAGGAGGCAGGGACGTTGGCCCCGGCGCCTAAGGACGTCGTCGAGGCGCATCCCCAGGGGTGGCGGCTCGCCCCGTCCGCGCGGGGCCGGCGAGGGGTCCGGTCAGTGCACACGACTCCCGGGGCTGCCCCTCCCCGGCCATGCCCCGCGCGCGTCTCCGCGGCCCGCGTCCGCCGCCAAGGGTCCTCGCCCCCGGCCCGGCGCGTTCGCCCCAGCCCAGGGGCCAAGCCGGGGGCGGAAGGGCCAAGGTGGGCGCCTTCACTCCCCGCCTCGGGCGCCCCTGAGGTGCCCAGCGACGAGGGCGCGAGGCCCCGGGGCGCAGCGGGGACGGCCCGGAGTGCCGCGAGAGGCCGCCGGAGGGCGCAGCGGGCCGCGCCGGTCAGGCGGCCGCGGGGGGGGCTGGGGCGCGGGCGGGACGCGCGGAGGCGGGGCGGAGGCTCCTGCCGCCTCCTCCTCCCGGACCTCCTCCGCCTCCGCCTCCGCCTCCTCCCAGTCCGCCTTCTCCGCGCCCTCCTCTCGCAGCCACCGCCTCCGCCGGACGGAGGAGCCGGGAGTCCGCGGCGCCGGCTC